CCTCAGCCTCCCAAAGGCGCGGGATTACAGGCTGAGCCACCGAGCCTGGCTGATACTCTTATTTTTAAGAAATTTTGTTTAATAATTTAAAGTGGATTCACCACAGTTAAACCAATTCAGTGGTTTTTAGTGTATTCGGAGAGCTGTGCAGCCATCACCAAAATCAATTTTAGATCTTTTCCATCACTTCAAAAAGAAACCTAGTATCCATTAACAGTCACTCTCTCTTCTGGGCCCCTTCCCTCCCTGCCATTCCTCAACCCCAGTACTTGGCAACCACTCGTGGACTTTTTGTCTCTTTAGCTGTGCCTATTTCAGATATCTCATTATAAACAGAATTATACAATGTATGGCCTTTGGTATCTAGCTCCTTTCACCTAACACAGTATTTTCAGGGTTTAAATACATTGTAGTATGTACGTATCTGTAGTTTGTTTGTTTGTTTTTTTTTTGCTGAGTAATGTTTCTTTATATGCATATTCCACAATTGGTTTATCCATTCATCCATGGATGGACATTTGGGCTGTTTCCAGTTTTTGTCTATTATGAAAAATGCTGCTAGAAGAGAACATTTGTGTACCAGTTTCTGTGTAGTCATAGGTTTTCATTCCTCTTGGGTATAGGAGTGGTCAGTATTCTGAGGAACTGCCAAAATGTTTCCCAAAGCAGCTGCACCCTTTTATAGTCCTAGGTTTTTGTGGGTTTTTTTTTTCTTTTTCTTTTTCTTTTTCTAGAGAGGAGGGCTTGCCATGTTGCCCAGACTGGTCTCGAACTCCTGGGCTCAAGCAATCCTCCTGCCTCAGCCTCCCAAAGTGCTGCGATTACAAGCGAGAGCCACCGCGCCTGGCTTGTTTTTTTTATTTTTTTAATAAAGAGCATTTAAGGTTTCCTCAGCGTCCCGGAGGAAGGTCCGCTCGCAGGGCCCCAAACTCCCTCGCGTCCCCACCAGGCCGGGGCACTGGAGCCTAAACATCGGATCCGCGCACAGCGGGCCTCCCGCCCGGCCCCGCCTCCTCGGCGCCTGAAGGCCAAAGGAAAACAGCCGCCCCCGGCTGAGGCTCTGTGGACATTGTAGTTCTCTCTCTCGTCAGCAGCGCGGAGACTGCGGGAAGGAAAACTACAATGCCCAGAATGCCGCGGTGCTACGGTAGCCGCAGGGGCCATTCCGCGTGCCGCGCTCCCGCCCCCTCTCCGGTCTCGGCGGCTCTCCAGAGCGCTTGTAAACACACCCAGAGGCTGTCATGGAGGGGGAGGAGGAGGCGGCGGCGGCGAAAGGAGGCGTTTGGGGCCGCCTCCGGGGTCCGCTCTGCCATTCCTGAACTGGCCCCTCGTCCCCGTGACTGTGGCATCAGGGAAGCGAACTGTTAGGCGCGAGGAGGCAGCCAGAATCATATCCCCTTCTTCCCCGGGGCGGGGGCCGGGCCGGCTGAGCCGGGGGAGGGCCCGGGGAGGGAGTGCCTGGCCGGGCCGGCCTGTCTGCCGAGATGGATGACAGTAAGGTAAGTCTTGTGGTCTGCACGCGCAGCTGCCGCCGCCGCCGCCGCCGCCTGCTTGTCGCAAAATGCTAGTCCCGGCTTGGTAGTCCTCGGCTGAGTAGTCCGTGCCAACACCCAGAAACACCTGCCTGAGACGTCCTGCCTCTTGCCAGTGATTGCCCGGTGGTACCCAGCCAGGAATTCGGGGAACACCGGGGCCGTGTTTTTCCAGGAAGGGCCCTCTTCTTTGGAAAATTTTCACTCCCAAGGCTACCCTGTTTGAGCTTTTCCAGATAGCGTAAACCCTAGACCTTGGCTTGCCTGTCGAGATAAGTGAAGAAACTACTGTGCTTTTTCTTTTTGCACTCTTTCGCTCCTTCCTAGCCTGTCTCCAGTTTGGAGGCCCTTAAGTAGTGCACCCTGAACCAGCCCTCTTCCCCTCGACGATTCCCCTTTCTTCTCTCAGGCTCTCTTACTCAATGCCCCATTCATATATCAGTTCACACCCCCTCTGAGCTATTTTCCTGTGGTTGGTTGGAACACTCCGCTAAGCTCCTCTTGCTATTTGGCCAGAGTCTGGAATTTAACCTCCTCTAGAAAGCCTTCTTTAAGAAAAGTAGTGAACTTCTTGTTAATCGAAATGCCCTCTCACCCTCTCACTTTCCCTATCCAAATCATTTATCTTTATGATCGTAAGATAATGGTCATCGTCGGTTAATTCACATGGTTGATCTATGTGTAACCTTTCTGTCTTCGTATCTACCCGCATTAGTCTTGTTTAGTTTTATTTCATGAAGATAAGGATGGTCAGGGATTCACTTATCGATGGTTTAGGATGTTCAGGAATTGGATTTTTTCCTTTAAGAAAGCAGACTTCTAAGATTTGCTACTTTTTAAAGTAAAAAAATCAGTCCTTTCCTGTGCTTTGCAGTCTTGTGTTCCGAATCTTCTGGCATACTCCTTGTGATAGCGTTTTCCTTTGTTGGGGTGCTATTTTTTTTTTTTTTCCTTTACCTAATCGGTATAACTTTGGCATTGCAAAGTTTTTGTTTCACACATCCTCAAAGAGATTACAAAATTTTCAACTTCTCTGTGCTCCTTGTTTTATTCTTTACTGCCTTCTCTTCATGCAGAAGACCCTGAGAAGAGCGATCGAAGGGAAAACCCAATGCAGAATTCTGGAATTGGACTCACTTAGAGGAACAGATTGCTTGGGAACTAGCAAATCCCTCCTAACCTGAAGTGGTATTTCCACGACAGAAGAGGGACGTTCTGAAGGCTTTCCAGAAAAATCAGAAAATAATTATTCATAAAAGTCTTTGCTAGCTTGATGTTTCAGTGTTAAATTTGAATAATGTATGATCTTTCCTAGAAAATAGTATTAATGCTATGGCTGTTTAAGGGTGCTAGAAGAATACAGTGTGCTTTGTTTTCCTTAACTTGAATCTCTCAGTGTATATTCTGATTTTCAGTTGTTTCTTTTGAAACATTTAATAACTTTCTCAAAGTCTTTAATAATCTCAAATAAATCCAAGAAAAGTACATGGGATTTTACTTAGCTATAAGATCACATAGGGGTCCGGGTGTGGTGGCTCAAGCCTGTAATCCCAGCACTTTGGGCAACTGAGGCGAGAGGATTGCCCGAGCCTGCGGGTTCAAGACCAGCCTGGGCAACATGGTGAGACCTTTTCTCTACAATAAATCAAAAACTGAGCCAGGCATGGTAGCACATGCCTGTAGTTCCGGCTACTTGGAAGGCTGAGGAGGAAGGATCACCAGAGTCCAGCAGGTTGACACTGGGGTGGCCATGAGCATGCCACTGCACTCCATCCTGGGCAATGGAGTGAGACTCCAACTCAAAAAAAAAAAAAAAGATCACATAAGGATTATTTCTAAAACTAGTGGGGTGGGGGTGCAGGGGCGATAGGAACACAGATTTCATTGTTTTGCCTAAAAAGGTAAAATTAAAATTTGAGGGTAGGCTATCCGTAACTTATTTCCTATGGAGTACACAAGTAAACAAATTTAGTTCTCGTTTTTTATTAATTCATTGTTTTTATGAGTATTTAGAAACCAGCAGCTTTTAAAATCTTAATGATTATCAAAAAGAACATTCATTTCAAATGACTTGCATGGCTAGTGCCTGGTGTACACTACTTTCACTTTGAATGCTTGTTGTAGTTGTCAGTGAGTAATATTTAAATGTCATGTACAGCAAGCCCTTCAACAGTTGGGCAGTGTGAAACAACCCTAAAGCAAGGCGTTGGCAGCTCCCAGCCCTACCTTTCTCTGCCCTAGTTGTTATAAGCCCACAAAGTTGTCCTCCTGTTATATACAGCCATAATCACACACAGAACACACTTTTCCCTACTGTGTATTAATCACAGAGTCGCCGTTTCCATTTTCCTCATTATAAGGGAAAATAAGAGTTGGGACTTAGAAGTATGGTAACTGTGCCAGTGAGGCTGAAGGATGACAAACTGGCGAACAGCAAGGCCAGGGCAAAAGCAAGAGGACGAAGTGGACAGGAGCAGCAGTTCTAGAGTTATTATTTGAATGATCAGGTTAGGGAACAGGTGATGATGATGTGAGGACCTCCCATTATAAAGATTATGTATTTTTGCCAGGCAAAATGGCTCATGCCTATAATCCCAACACTTGGGGAGGCCAGGGTGGGAGGATTGCTTGAGGCCAGCCTGGGCAACATAGTGAGATCCCGTCTCTACAATTAACTAAAAAAAGCAGCAGGAGACTTAGGAAAATGCTACATAGCATTTCCTAAGCTCAAATATGACTGAGTAGATCAATCATCTAATTGGGAGTGAAAAAATCTTGGCTAAGTTATTTAACCTTTCTGAGCTTCCATTTCCTTATCTGTTAAATAGGGCCTTCTTTGCAGGCTTTGGTGAGGGATAGAGATGATGCATTTAAAACATCTATAGTCAGGTTGGGCTTGGAGGCACATGCCTATAATCCCAGCACTTTGGGAGGACAAGGCAAGAGGATTGCTTGAGCACAGGAGTTTGAGACCAGCCTGGGCATCATAAGGAGACCTCGTCTCTACAAAAAATAAAAAAATTAGCCTGCGCCTGTAGTCCCAGGGTAGGCTGAAGTGGGAGGATCGCCTGAGCCAATGAGGTCAAGACCTGCAGTGAACTGTGATCATGCCAGTGCACTCCAGCCTGGGCCGCAGAGCGAGACACCCCCAATCAAAAAAAAAAAGCATCTAGTACAGATTCTAACACATAGTGGGTACTTGAAAAAAGTTATCATTATTATATTACCTAGCAGTGACTTCCTTGGGCCTTGGCACAGTGCTGTAGGTAACTGAGATGCTCATTTTAGTAATTCTAACATGAATGCAGTTGTATAACATTTGCAGCCGTGTTTACCCCTACACTTCCCTTTGTTCCTAACTGCTTCAGTGGGAGGAGCAGAAGGATGGGACATAAAATGAACTCAGCTCTGATCTTGACTGTTAGGTGGTGCGACAAAGGCAGTCTCCCAAATCTACTTGCATGTCCACCATTGGGAAAAGGTGCTTTTTTAAAATGAAAGCTTCTCCTCCTTGACCTGCTGCATTTAATTATAAAAAATATATAAATCTGTTATTTTGGTGGCTTTGATCATAGCAAATTAATATTTTTATATTACATTTGACTTCTATGTGTATTGAATGAAAATATGAATAAATTGAAATATTCTAAACCAGGTGTTCCTGCCATAGACTGTAAAGCTGGGTGACTGAGCGAGATCCTGTCTATGAAAGTAAAACGTATAATGAAATAAGCGTTTGTAACTATTCTTGGGGCACTTACAGTTTGGTGATTTAGGGAGACAAATAGAAAAGTAATGGCAATATAGTGAGGTAAAAAATGAGGGCAGTAGAAGCAAAGTGCATTTGGGGCATAATGGATGCCTAGCCAAGCCTGCAGTAGCTTAGTTGGTGGGGGTGGATGCCTCACTGTCAAGTATGTCAGACCTGGGTTCACATAGTAGAAACAAATCTGTAAAGAACAGGAGTTGCTAAGCCGGGCTCGGTGGCTCAGCCTGTAATCCCGTGCCTTTGGGAGGCTGAGGTGAGTAGATTGCCTGAGCCCAAGGGTTCGAGACCCGCCTGGGCAACTTGGCGAGACCTCATCTCTACAATAAATCAAAAATTAGCTGGGCATGGTAGCGCGTGCCTATAGTTTCAGCTACTTGGAAGGCTGAGGCGGAAGGATTGCTGGAGCCCAGCAGGTTGAGGCTGCGGTGACTGGAAGCAGCCACTGCACTCCAGTCTGGGTGACAGAGTGAGACTCCAACTCAAAAAAAAAAAGAACAGGAGTAGCTGGGCATGATGGTACATGCCTGCAGTCCCAGCTACTCTGTAGTCACAGCTACTTGGGAGGCTGAGGAGGGAGGATCACTTGAGCCCAGGAGTCCAAGGCTGTGGTGAGTCATAATTGTGCCACTGCACTCCAGTCTGGGGGGAGGGCAGGTAAGAACAGGAGTGTCCCCCAAGACAGGAAAGATGGAATATCCTATACTACAGCATGTTGCACAGGAGAATAACTATTTTGGTAAAGCTAGAGCAGGGAATGACAATCTTTCTGTAAAGGGCCAGATAGTATTTGTAGGCTATTTGGTCTCTGTTGGAATTATTATCGATTCTGCCATTGTATTGTGAAAGCAACCATAGGCAGAACATAATGAATGGGCATGGTTGTGTTCCAGTAAGACTTTAGTTACAGAAACAGGCAGAGGGCTATGTTTGACTTGCTAGCAGGGTAGTAATTATGTGACCCCTGGCCTACAGCATAAAGTGCAAGTCATGATTAGAGGTGTGGTCAGAGATAAGGATGGAAAGATAATGACATACCTGGCAAAGTAGGCTGAGAAATTTGCATCAGTATTTTTCAAAGTATGGAAGACACCTGCGGAATCAGAATTTCTGGGGATGGAACTTGGGAATTTGAATTTTAGTAGCCTCCCCAACTGAGTGGTACAAATGCCAGAGGTGTTAGGAGCTATTGAAGGACATA